GCCATATCACAGTTGTGGAGCTCTGTGGCTAAGAGTATGGGCTCTGGTTTCAGACTCCTGGGATTGGAATGGCGTCTCCCCAATTGTTAATTGTGTTACTGTGCCATGTTTATGGAACATTTCTCTGCCTCAGTTTCTCCCTCTGTGAATGGGATGGGGTAGATTACATAGGATCTCAGATTTCTTTGCAGCTTCCCCCACTAAAGGTGGAGTATACTTTCCCACCCCCCTGAAACTGAGCTGGCCTTGTGACTTCCATAGGAATGTGGTGGCAATAATGTGTGAGTTCTGAGCCTAGGTGTCAAGAGGCTTTGCAACTTCTGTTCTTTCAGGACATTGCTGCCATGTGACAAGCCCGGCTGATGCCACTGAGGATGTGAGGCCACGTGGAAGGAGATCCCAGCCATCCAGCCCAAATTGCCCACTCACAGCATTGTGAGTACATGAATTATTTTGGGGGTGGTTTGTTATGTTGTTGAAGCTGACTGAAATAGGGGAGAATAATAGTACAGTAGTCTCTCCTTATCCATGATTTTGTTTTCTACAGTTTCAGTTACCTGTGGTCAACCATGGCCCCAAAATACCAAGTGGAAAATTCTAGAAAGAATTTGTAAGTTTTAAATTGCATGATTTTGTGAGTAGTTTGATGAAATCTTGTGCCTTCCCACCTGGGACATGAATCATCCCTTTCTCCAGCATATCCGAGCAGTATATGCGACCCCATTACTCAGTTAGTAGTGCTCTAGTCTCAGTTATCAGATCGACAGTCCTGGTATTGCAGTCCTGGGGCAGGTAGGGACCAACTGACAGAGGGTCTTGTCTTCTGTCCAAGTCACCCTTACTTCACTTAATAATAGCCCCCAGACACAACAGTAGTGATGCCAGCAATTTGGATATTCTCTTACTGTGCCTAATTTATAAATTTTATCATAGGTATGTATGTATAGGAAGAAACATAGTGTATATAGGGTTTGGTGCCATCTGTGGTTTCAGGTATTTACTGGGGGTCTTGGTGCATAATCTCCTAGAATAAGGGGGACTGCTGTGCCTACCTTGAAGGGTTGCGGTGAGGTTTACATAATAATGGGAACTTAGATCAGCCCACGTGGAGCAAATACAATTACTACTAACATCATCATGGGGCACTGCCTCTTGCTTATTGCATTCTAGTCCCACTGACCTCCTTTCTTCTTATTCTTCTTTCTTCCTTGTTCCTTCTTTCTTCCTCCTCCTTCTCCCCCTCCTCCTTCTTCTTTTAAATATACCAAACTCTTCCTCTTTCAGGGCTTTCATACTTAATTCTCTACGTTTGGAACTGTCCTTCCCTGCTGTCTTGTTTTCACGGTTGCGGTCTCAGCTGAAACGTCTTCTCCTTGGAGAGGTCTTCTCTGAATCTCCCCGCTCCCTTCCTCTCCATTTTTGCTTCCTTTCATTGTGTCTGATCATCACATTTATTGATTTCCTTGAATGTTGTCTGTCTCCCCTTCTAGATTTCAAGTCCCTTGAGGGCAGGAGCTGGGCTTTTATCCTTGCTGCCCACCACGGTGCCGTGCACAGCAGGCACTCACTTGGTATTTGCTGAATGAGTGGATGAAAAGAGGCATGTAATCAATATGAGTTTGAGGTTGGTGTCTGGTTTCCAGGAAGAGGGGATTATCCAGGTTGGAGTTTCAGAGAGAGGAGACTGTGTGCTGCTTCTCATTCTTACAGCCACTTAGGTTTTTGTCACACTCTTTGTTGGATCGATTATGTTCCTGATATCCTATGTCCAACAAGGCTATGGGCTTCTTTAGAAAGAGATTGAGTCCCTCACAGCCCCAAGCACATTGTCAGGCACCTAGCAGGGGCTTAACAGAAGTTTATTGGATAGATAAATGGATGGACGTGTGGATGAATAGATGAATAAATGAGTGAATGTAAAGAAGGATGGATGGACAGTAGTACTGAGACTGCAGGCAACAATGGAAAACCATGTTTATTTTTTCCTTCTAATAAAGGACAGTACATTTCCAGTCAATCTGTAAAACGTCATGAACGTATGAAAATGTATTAAGTACAGTCATTAGCATTACACTGCAGAGAAATAGTTGTTATAACCCTTTCCCCTAAGATGGTACTTGGATGGTCACTGTTGGTTTGCTTTAACAAAAAAGGGCAAGAGTAGGTGACCGGTTGGCCTGGTTGGCCCAGGACAAAGGAGTCTCCCAGGATGTGGGGCTTTCAGTGCTAAAACTGGGGAAAGCTCAGGCAAACTGGGATGGTTGGTCATGCAAGAAAGAGAGCAGCACGAGAATGTTGGGTGTGCTTTGGTATTTAGGTACAGGGGTCCGATAGTTTCTCAACTTCCCATGACCTCGCTTCCTCTTAGCTCTGGAATAAAAATCCCTGTGTTATTATCAAGGGCGTTAACAGCTTTCAAAGGGTTTTAACAACCCCGTGTAATTTTGACTTGATCTTTATGCCAAGCCTGGGAGGTAGGGCAGTTCTAACCTAATTTGCAGGTGAAGCATGCTACGTCAGTGCTCCTAGCTCCTAGAGAATATGGGGCAGAGAAAAGACTGCCACCCCCATCTCCTGAGGCCAGTGTTCTTCCCACTACTCTGTTCTTTTCTGAAACATCCTACCTGTCTCATCTGGCTTTCAGGAGTGAGCAGGAATCATACGGGGGAAAGGAAGGACCCTGAGATCCAAGCTTTGGCTCAATCCCCTCATTTGGGACAATTTTATTTGATTACTGCTTTGCCTGATGTGTTTACCTGCTCCTCCTCTAGCAATCCTCATGAAGGATTCCCCTGAAGACCCACCAGCTGGTCAGTCAGTGCTGGCATCATTACGTGGCAAAGTCAGTGAAAGAGATCCAGTATATTTGGGCCATGTCCCAAATGGCCCTTCCGGTTAAGGTTTGCCAGCAGGGTGGTCAGAGGACCAGCTCAGTCTGCAATGTGCCAGCTTGATTGTTGAGCTCTTTTTGGGTACTTCTGCTGAGAAGTTACTCAAGTGATAAGTCAGTTCATGGGGTGGCTGTAACTTGCCACACTTGTTCCCACCCTTGTACCTTTTGCCTGACATATATGGGCACCACCTTAAGGCGGGAGGGTTCAGTAGTCCTCCCTGGCTCACCTTAAAAGACTAGGGACAGGATATCCTTGCCCATGGTAGACCTCACTTCTCTTGACAGTGTATTAGAATCCTATCATCCATTCTTTTATTCCAACACTGTTTTGAGCTCTTTTGCATTTTTGGCATTTATGACCTCTAGGGATAAGAAGTCTATGTAATCCTTCTTTTCCCTGTGAAGTGAGACTTCCTCTGGCTCTCCCTAATTCAGCTGAAGCCTGTGATATTCTGGGATAAGCTTAATAAATGGGGTTTGACACTGGTCCTACTCTTTCGGATGTTGTTGTTTGGGCTCAGAGTTGCTCTGTCTTACGGGTTGTCTATTCTGGGTGCAGCTGTGTAAAGGTCTGATCTTAGAGTTTTCCTTTTCTGAGAGTTGAACGAGGAATGGGTACAGGCTTCCCCTGCTATCTGAAAGTAGAGCGTTAGTATGAAAATTTTTGTAAGCTGAAATGGCGTAAACAAAGAAGCAATTACCTTAGGACACATCTTGCTAATGGATGCACAAAATATCTGGATAAATCCAGCTAAAGCACAGCTGCTTAGACACAGTTCAAAGCTATGGCGGTTTGATTCTGAGATGCTGAGTGTAGCTCCTGGGGAAGGAGTTGGGTGGTGCCAGTGCCACTCAATGCTCAGTGCTCTATAACCGCTGGCTGCGAAATAAATGCTGAATGCCATTTTCACTTTTCACCTTTTTTGGGGGGTAAAAGCAGAAAGAAATGCAACTCTTTGGATTTCTTTCGGTTAGCAGCAACGGGTACCAATATAGATCTTTGGTAAAAGTGAAATGGCTTAAGGCAAACTTTTGAAAAGTGGGGCATATTTGTACTTTTATTTAAAAATAAATAAAGTAAATATCTTGAAGAGTGCTGCCCATGCCCTCTTGGTAGATTCCGCAGACTGTGGGACATGTAGCCTATTAGCTGAAGCGTGGAGTTTCTGCTTCACGTGCTTATGTCCATTCGCTTTCACGTGCTTATGTTCTTTCTGCCTCTTAAACTAGCTGCGGCCTTATGACCCTCAGAAGTGTCTGTGGCTCTGAGTTCAAAAGTGATTTTAGGGCTTCCCTGGTGGCGCAGTGGTTGAGGGTCCACCTGCCGATGCAGGAGACACGGGTTCGTGCCCCGGTCCGGCAGGATCCCACATGCCGCGGAGCGGCTGGGCCTGTGAGCCATGGCCGCTGAGCCTGCGCGTCCGGAGCCTGTGCTCCGCAACGGGAGAGGCCACAACGGTGAGAGGCCCGCATACCGCAAAAAAAAAAAAAACCAAAACACACACACACACACAAATCTGATTTTAGTCTTTAGGTGTGATTTTCTTTGGTTTAGAGCAGACCCAACTCTGGAAGGGATGTTAACCCCGACATGACCATCCCTGCAGTACACTTGAGATGAGGCACTTGTGTGTATGAGACTGTTCTGAGACTTGAACTCTTGACACCGAGGGGTGAGGTGATGGTTTGACAAGCCCAGAAACTTCCAGATCTTGAGAGATTGGCTGGCTCGCTACACTTCTTGGCATCTGGGAAACTGATGGCCCAGTTGCATTGGGTTGTAGGCTGTACTTATCTAGAGGGTCAAAGAATGTCTCTGGGTTAAAAAATGAAAAACACTCAATGCAATAGAAATATAGCCTCCTTATAAAAAACCTTTTGCAAGAAGTGCTGCCTGGCAGCAGGAGAAAACTAGAGGTCGACTGGTTTCCAGTCCTTTTTTGTCAAGACCCCTTGGGGCCAGCACTTCCTCTAAGGAAGTCAAGCCTGGTGGGGAGAAGAGGATAAGACGGGCACATTCTTCCCTTCATGAAGAGGAAGAGTCGTGGTTAATTAAGCCAGTGATTAGGCGGCCTCCTCGGAGTTTGTGCAGATCTCTGCAGGCCCCTCATATGGTCACTGAACTCTGGGATCGGCGATGGCTGCCCTGGCTGAAGGGCCGGTTCGAGTTAGTCTGTCCACTTGAGTAGGCTCCGGACGCCATCATCCTACTAGGCTCCAGGAGAAGGTGCTCCCCAGATGAGAATTTAGCCCAGGAGTCCCATGAGCATGGGTCATCCCTTATGTGGTCTCCACTGGATCTCTCTCCGGGCAGCACCCAGTCCTCTTTGTACTTGCACTCCACAGGGCTCGAGCTCTTTGGGTGCTGGCTCTGTAGCTCGGTTCTGGGGCAGGTGGCCCTGGATGGTGGGTGGGCTGGGCCTCTCCAGGGACGGTGGCAGTCCTCTGTCGGCTTCTCCAACTCTGGATTTCCAGCTCTCTTTTGTCCATGGGGAGTTTGTCAATTTTCTGAGCTTTTAAGATCAGAGACTTCCCATATGTCCCTTGTAGAGCCAGGAGAAAGTACCTGGTGGGAAATAATAGAATAAAGATATTTTCTGACTTCTGAATTTCAGCATTGAAAGGGTCCTTAGAATCCAATTCATGCCCAGGGAAAGATCATCTTTTTTTTTTTTTTTTTTTCCAAACAATGGTAATTTAATGTTAGTTATTATAAAGAAAAGGTTACTATGTATTGGCCTTTAATGACTGCATGATTTTAATGACATGATTTTAATGACTGCCTTTTTTGATTGAACTTCCTTCTCATAAATGCTTGTACCACCTCTTAGTTCATAATGATGGCACTTAAAAAGTTTTTTTAAAAATTTTTCATTTATTTATTTTTAACATCTTTATTGGAGTATATTTGCCTTACAATGGTGTGTTACTTTCTGCTGTATGACAAAGTGAATCAGCTATACATATACATATATCCCCATAACTCCTCCCTCTTGAGTCTCCCTCCAACCCTCCTATCCCACCCCTCTAGGTGGTCACAAAGCACCGACTGATCTCCCTGTGCTATGTGGCAGTGTCCCACTAGCTAGCTATTTTACATTTGGTAGTGTATACATGTCCATGCCACTCTCTCACTTCGTCCCAGCTTACCCTTCCCCCTCCCCGTGTCCTCACGTCCATTCTCTACATCTGCATCTTTATTCCTGTCCTGCCCCTAGGTTCTTCAGAACCTTTTTTTTTTTTTTTTAGATTCCGTATGTATGTGTTAGCATACGGTATTTGTTTTTCTCTTTCTGACTTACTTCACTCTGTATGGCAGTCTCTAGGTCCATCCACCTCACTACAAATAACTCAATTTCATTTCTTTTTATGGCTCAGTGATATTCCATTGTATATATGTGCCACATCTTCTTTATCCATTCATCAGTCGATGGACACTTAGGTTGCTTCCATGTCCTGGCTATTGTAAATAGAGCTGCAGTGAACATTGTGGTACATGACTCTTTTTGAATTATGGTTTTCTCTGGGTATATGCCCAGTTGTGAGATTGCTGGGTCGTATGGTAGTTCTATTTTTACTTTTTTAAGGAACCTCCATACTGTTCTCCATAGTGGCTGTATCGATTTACATTCCCACCAGCAGTGCAAGAGGGTTCCCTTTTCGCCACACGCTCTCCAGCATTTATTCGGGAAAGGTCATCTTTGCCACTCTCTTGACTGATGGATCAAATCTATGCCTGTACGCCTCTGGTACTGGGCAGTTCAACAACAAAATATAACAGCTAACATTTGTTAGGTACCAGGACTATTCTAAGTGCTTTTCATGTTATTAACGCATATTATTCTCCTCCAAATCCCACGTGGTTGGTACTTTTGTTTCCCGCTATGTACAGACATGGAAACTGAGGCACCGAGAGATTGAATGGTTTGTCCAGAGCCACACAGTGGTCAAGCTATGGTGAAGACCAAGTGCTGTGGATTCTGAGGCTTTTCTCTCATCTACCATGCACGAGGCAGTCCATTCTATTTCTGAGCTGTTCTAATTTAGGCAAATTTACTTGCTTTGGAATGTCAGCTCTTTGTGGAACTTAATAATTTTAAGGTAGTTTCCCAATACGTTCTTTTCTTGAATCCACAGGCTATGCTAGCTTCACAGCATCAGTGTATTATCACTATTTTCCAGATGAAGATACTGAGGTCCCAAGTGATGAGATGGGTTTCCTAAGGTCTCCCGAGAAGTTGATAGATCTCCTTGATGGTTAACTCAAGGTTCCTTTCCCCTGCCAAGCTTCCTGTAGCCTGTAGTGGACTCTGGAATCGGGGGGGTCTCTATATGTGCCTAGAATATTTTCCTGTTCCAAGTTTAGGTAAGAAGGTAACTAAAACTATGTGATCTGTGGAGAAGCATATACCATCTTGTGATGCTGGGCAGCTCATACCCCCTCTCTGGGTGTCAGTTTATCTAAAACGTAATCCAGTTGGGCCAGAGGACATCTAAGGTCTTTTCCAAAAATAATCCTTAAATGGTTTTTATTTCTAAAGCCTTATACGCAGAGAGGCTCCCATCCTTCTGTTATGTCTAAAAGATTCAGGATGATCTAAAGTGAGCAGGGGTTTCTGAAGACCACAGTAGATCTTACGGAATCAGAAACTTCTCCCCATTCTTTTTCATCTCACCCAGGGCAGCAGTGCAGGTGGCCATTACATATGTGTTTCAGGAAAGACTCAACTTCTTGCGGGAAACTGTAGTTTTCTCAGTTTAAACATTCCCCCAAGCTACCAATTTCCCTCTCTGTCCATTTAGTGAACAAATACCTGGCAAGTTCCTACAATGGGCCAAGCCCCAAGGGATTATTAAGCTGGGAACCAGACTGACAGGAATCTTGCTGTCAGAAAGCACAGGAACAGAGTTAGAAGCCGCAGGAGCAGCGAGAGTGTCAAACACGGGATCTGGTGCAAGAAACCTTCCTGGAGGAGGAAACATTAAAGGTGAGGACTGAGGGATGCATAGGAGGAAGCCAGGCAAAGAGGGGGTGAGAAGCAAATCCTGGGCTCAGTGGCTGCAGTGTGGAGAGCGAGGGCAAGAGTGAGGGACTAGGACACAGAGGGGTTGGCAGGGTCAGAGCAGGCAAGGACCATGGGGAATGTTTTGGGTTTTGTGCATTATTGTAAAGGCCTTGGGAAGGCCTTGGAAAGTTACGAACATGACACGATTACCCTTTGACACAATGATAATGGATTAGAGTAAAACCCAGTAGGAGACCTACTGAAGTAATTCGGAATGAAAGTCTTATAACCTATCCATGGTGGTGGCTGTAGAAATGGAAATAAATAGCAGATGGAAATACCTACTGAGAAATAGGTTAGCAGATAAAATTGTCGGGTCTTGGTGATGGGCGAGAGAGGGGCATGTGGTGGGTGGTATCAAGGATAAGTCTCAGGGGCCTGCCTTGATCCTAAGTGGTCACAGTGGATGAAAGGAACTCGGGAAGAGAGCCAGGTTTCTGGGATGGTGGTGGTGGTGACAGAAAGTAGATAGCGAATTAAATTACAGATGTCTCCCACTTTCCTCAGATGTAGCAGGCCCAGTGCTGCTGAGGCATGGGTAGCTTAGAAAGAAGTATCTGGGATTCCGGAGACGGAGTTTATACTGGAGTTTATATTAGAGAGTTTATATTAGAGAGTTTATATTAGAGATTCATTTGTGGAAAATGATATTTAACTTCACAATAGTGGTTGCTATGTTTATGGACAGAATTAAAGTGAGAAGACAAAAGAACCTAGGGTAAAGGCTTGACAGTACACCATGTCAAAGACATGAACCAGCAAAAGAAACAAAGAAGTAGGAGAAAAACCAAGAGAGTTCTGTGCTACCGAAGCTAAATGAAGAGTGTCCAAGGGGCTCTATTGTAGCGAATTTCGATGCTGCCTTGTGTTTTAAAGTTTGTGTGTTAGTTATTTAAGAGATAAAACAAAAGAAACTTACTTTGTCTCAGTTTAAGAGAATCCATATAGTTCCTTTATACCGGTTGAAGTAATTAGACCGAGATAAGTGAGGTCACGGTTAGTGGCTAATTATCACAAGCTTGGTGAGTGAAATCAATCTTATTATAAGTACAGCTTACATCTTTAAGTGAACAAATAGAGTTTTCTATAGCAAACATTCTATCGTGTAGATTTCTGTAACAAAAATTGTTCTAAGGTTACAAGTCAGCAGTCCTTGGAGCTATTAAAATAATGCTTTCTCTGTCAAAGGAAATCTCTTTGCCTTTCTTAGGCAACAGAATTGAACAGTAATTCAAGTTTATGATGATAATATAGAATAGGCAGAGATTTAACTTGCGCACTATGGTAACTGGCAAGAAAATATTTGCCTACTTTTCCCTAAGTTGTCCCTCACTTGTTTAACAAGCTGTAATGTTGAGTGTTTGTCTTTTCCAAGAACGTTCATACTTTTCAACAACCCTCATCAAGCTGGTAGCCTCTGGCTCCAAATGTGTCTTCTAACCAAGGGTAGCACAAGAATCCTCGGCTGATGATTTGCCCTTTCCATAGCCCAGATAAGACACAGAACAGAGGAGGTCAGTCCTTGGTCAGAGGTGATCATAACCATGTTTAACCCCAAAAGTGTGGACAAAAATATTTAACCCACATATTTGATGCCCTTTTCCAATGAGGGCAGGACCTTCATGGTCTCTCCCAGGCTCCGTCTCCCAAGGGGTTGGGCTGAGAAAGGGGGTGGGTGGGTGGGTGGGTGGGAAATAATGTGCTCTGAGGCTTGTGCTTAATTGCTTCCCACTCTTCAGTCGCAGGGCCCTCTTTTAATACTAGTTACTTTCACCTGTATTACTATCAAACGTCTGTCTGTATTGTCCACTGGGTTGTAGACTTCTTGAGAGCAAGAGTTCTGTTTTATTCATCTTTCTGTTTCTTTAGCATCTTTTTCTCATTTATCTCTGAGGGCAGCTTACATGACAAGAACTCTGCTAGCTGTGGGTTATATAATGATAAGGTGACACCTTCCTTCCCGGAGTTAATGGTCAGACCAAGACAAACAGATAAAACAGATGATGTGGGCTAAAGGTAGTAGTGACAGATAGACCCAGGTCATGGGAACACAGGAGCGAGGGGGATCTGTTTCAGCCTGAGGGAGGTAGGTGAGGTCATGCAAGGCTTCTGGAATTGCTCATGCCTGAAATGTCAAAGGGTGAGGCGGTCTGGTAACGAAGGGCATTTTGAGTAGAAGGGACAGCATGAACACAGGCAGGAAGGGGCGAGGGCAGGGAGCCTTTAGGGAAGTCCAGGAAGCTTGGTGATGTGGAGCCCAAAGTTTGAGCTTTGGGAGCAGGGGGATAAGGCTGTAGAGGCCAGTAGGGGCCAAGCAGGGGCCAAGCAGGGAGGCTGCGTCCACAGTGCATACTCAGCCGTTTGCTGAGTTCACAGTAGTGTTTGTCGTATTGGTATCTTCAGCCTCTAAACCCTGCATCAGATGTCAGGGTTCTGAGGTGGCTTACGAAGAAGAAATGGAGCCCAAACTAGGTTAAGCAAAGCTGCCAAACTTATTAAAGGAAGCAAAGCATGCTAGTGGCTCTCTGCCTAATTTTGGATTAGAGAAAGTTCTACACAATGTTGCAATGGCTTCTTGACTGTGGCTCATAATGATAAAGTAGCTGAATTTCAATGTTCAGAGCAGACGAGATCCTAAGGATGGAGAGAGGCTGAGTCTTGCCTCTGGGTACAGCATCATTAAGTTCACCGAATGCTCTGACTAGAGAGCGTGGGATGGAGGACAGAACACTGGCCTCCGAGTTGGGAGAACTCAGCTCCCACTGTGACTTGTGGTGGGCTGGAGGACACATTCTGGTCCCTCATAGGACTTAAGCTGTTCCATGAGCAAGTAGGACTACAACCACAGCTTTGCCTAATTTCTAGGTGATTTTGCAAAAGGCATTTTTTGCAAAAATGGAGGAGCTAGATAGAAAAGCATGTGTCAAGAGGAAATTCTAAGGACGCGCCAGGCGTTGTTGTTTTTCGGGAAAAGGCGAATGTAGAGGACTGAGGCTGGAAATGTTAGAAATAGTCCCTCTGCATGAATGATTTATTTGGCAAATACAGGGTGTGTGTTTTAACAAATTTGAGGAGTATTAAGAAGTTGGTTATTTCATGCAAAATTTGAATTTCTGGGAAAAATCTAAAGCTCTGAAATGCTAGTCTTCATCTTTCCTTGTGGCAGTGATAGGCTGAAGCTTAGAAGTTCCTTCTCCTAATGTCTGTCTGTACCTCACCTGCTGCTGTTGCTTACCTGTCCCTGTAGGCATTTGAGAGTGAGACTCCTGGGCTAAGGAATAAAGGACTACAGAGCTTTTCAAAATGATTCTTTTTACACAACGAAGTTTGTATGGCAGGAGGGTAGGAATTAGTACTCTCATTTTACAGATGTTATAACAGAGGTTGTGCCAGATTTGGTGACTTTGCTGCTCTGTGGCTGAGCTGGGACCAGAGTCCGTGCTATTTGCCTCCAAGTTCATTATTCTTTCTGTCCTAGCTCCCTATCTTTGAAACAGTAGCCTCAGGCATCCCAGCTGGAGTCAAACTCCTGACTCTTGGGCTATGAAAATGGCTGATTGAGGGGAGAGTGGTAGTTCTAGGAAGAAAATAGCACCCCCTGTTCAAACCTTGGGAGAAGAGCCACGACCGGTGTGAGGAGGCAGACGAGGTAGAAAGTGGGGTCCGAGAGCTGGCCTTCCATCACCCAGTAGGGGTTGATGGGACTGTTGCAGGTGACGCAGGTGGCGTTGTACACTAGGGATACCACAAAGTACATCAGGAAGCTGCCTGCGAGAACAAGCCCGTGGATGATGGTCTGTGGAAGGAAAGGAGTAAACACTGTTGAAGGGATAGCTTAGATTAGGGGGGAATGCAGTCACGCTACTTTAGCTTGTTTTAAACTTTTTTTTGGAAATGCCACATACCTATAAACAATTTTCAAAAGTGTGCCATTTAATAGCTTATGATAAAGTAAACACCTATGTTGCTACCACCCAGAATGTGAACACACATACGCCGGAAACCCCTAAATCACCTTGACTTTGGTGATAATTTTCATGATATTCTTTAGTTTTACTACCTATGTTTCTCCCTTAATAGTCTGTTTTTAAAAATTAATCACATTTGATGTGACTTTTGTCTTTTTTCCTCAGTATTATGTTTGTGTGATGAATTCATTTTTTCCACATGTGGCTGTTAGTTATTCATTTCCAAAGCAGTGCAGTCTTCTGTAGTCTGATCTCATTTTGCCCTGCCTGTTTTATGCTGCCTTCCTTCCAGTTCTTGTCCTCTTTTAAACTTACTGACGATTCCATGTAATTTCACTTCCCTGCCTACTAGTTTGAAAGTTATATATTTCATTTCCATTCCTTAGTGATTACTCAATAAATGCTAATAAGCAGTTTTAACTTACTGTGGTATAAAGTTTCTGTGTTTCCCTCCTCCTGAATACATTGACTTTAGAACACATTAACTTTGTTTACCTCCCTCCTGACTCATATCTCATTGCTACTGTGTATTTAAATTCTATCATCTTTTTAAATCACATAAGTCATTATTACAGTTTAATATGGTCAGTATTTATTAAGATTTACTTACATGCTTGACACTTTCTATGCCTTCATTCCCTCTTGCATTTTGGACTTTCCATCTGAGCTTTCTTTCCTTATACTTTTTTAAAAAACTTTATATTAGAGTGTAGTTGGTTAACAATGTTGTGTTAGTTTCAGGTGTATAGCAAAGTGATTCAGTTATACGTATACAAGTATCTCTTCTTTTTCAAGTTCTTTTCCCATTTAGGTTACTACAGAATATTGAGCAGAGTTCCCTGGGCTATATACAGTAGGTCCTTGTTGGTTATCTATTTTAGATATAGTACTGTGTACATGTCAATCCCAATCTCCCAATCTATCCCTCCCACCCTCCTTTCCCCCTGGTAACCATAAGTTTGTTCTCTAAGTCTGTGAGTGTTTCTGTTTTGTAAATAAGTTCATTTGTGTCATTTTTAAAGATTCTGCATAGAAGTGATATCATATGATTGATATTCATCTTTCTCTGACTTACTTCACTTAGTATGACACTCTCCAGGTCCATCCATGTTGTTGCATATGGCATTATTTCATTCTTTTTAATGGCCGAGTAATATTCCATTGTATATACGTACCACATCTTTATCCATTTCTCTGTCGATGGACGTGTAGGGTGCTTCCATGTCTTGGCTATTGTAAACAGTGCTGCCATGAACATTGGGGTGTCTTTCCTTATACTTTAAATAGAGTTGACCTTTGAACAGCATGGGTTCGAACTGTGCGGGTCCACTTACATGTGGATTTTTCTCAACAAATACTACCGTATTACCTGATCTGTGGTTGGTTGAATCCACAGGTATGGAGAACTGATTATGGGACTTGAGCATCCACAGATTTTGGTATTTGCATTGGGTCCTGGAACAAATCCCCTGTGGATACTGAGGGATGGCTGTACATCCTTTAGAATATCCTTTCGTGAAAGTCTGCTGGTGATGCAGCCTCTGATCCATTACTTCATTCTCATTCTTCAAAGCTGTTTTTGATCTTGTTGGGAAGTTATTTTCTTTTAGTATATTTAAGATAGCATTTCACTATCTTCTGGCTTCTGTTGTTGCTATTGAGAAGGTAGCAACTCTTTATCTGTTATTCCTTAGAAGGAAATCTCTTATAACGTGGCTGCTTTTATGATTTTTATTTTGTCCTCAGTGTTCTATAGTTTTCTTATAAGTGTGGATTTTTAAAAAATTTATCTTGCTTGGGTTTTGCTGATCTTCTTGAATTCGTGGATTGATGTCTTTCATTACTTTTGCAAAATTCTCGAGTCACTATCTTTTCAAATATTGCCTCTGTCTCATTTTCTCCTCCTTTCCTTCTGAGACTCTAATAAAATGTATGTTAGATCTTTTAAGATACCACCATATCTTCTATATATCTCAATATCTGTTCCATAATTTTCATTATTTTACTTTTGTTTTATATTCTGGGTAATTTGACCAGTTCACTAATTCTCCCCTCAGCTGTGCCTAATCTGCTGTTAATCCAGCCATTGAAACTTAAATTACAGTTATTGTATTTTTTAATTTCTAAGAGTTTTATTTGGTCTTTTTTCACATCTTCTAGGTTTCTTTGCATGGTCTTCCAATTCTTGCAGATATTTTGAAGCTTAATCTTCTTTAAACATAGCAAACAAACCTTTTCTATGATTTCTAGCTGATAATTCCAGTACCTGAGATATTTGTTACTGATGTTTGTGCTTGTGATCCTCATTGAGTTCTTGTTTCATTTTGAGCTTCATTATTTATTTACTTATTTGTTATTATTATTATTATTATTTTTTGTGGTACACGGGCCTCTCACCGTTGTGGCCTCTCCCGTTGCAGAGCACAGGCTCCGGACGCGCAGTCTCAGCGGCCATGGCTCACGGGCCCAGCCGCTCCGCGGCATGTGGGATCCTTCCGGACCGGGGCACGACCCCGCATCCCCTGCATCGGCAGGCGGACTCTCAACCACTGCGCCACCAGGGAAGCCCCATTATTTATTTTTTCGTGTGTTTTTGAAAATTTTATTTTTCTTACTCATTTGAGAGTTATTGAAACTTCTTAATGCAATCTGTTGTTATATAGCGCAAAAATCTTCTTAAAGTCTACTGTTTATTATTATGTATATTTTAATTGAAGTATAGTTGCAGTGATTCAGTTACATATATATATATATATATATATATATATATTCTTTTTCAGATTCTTTTCCCTTACAGGTTATTACAAAATTGAGTATAGTTGCCTATAGGTCCTTGTTGGTTATCTGTTTTGTATACAGTTGTGTGTGTATGTTATTCCCCACTTTATCCCTCCCCCTCCCCCACCCCTTTCCACTTTGGCAACCATGAGTTTGTTTTCTGTCTGTGGGTCTATTTCTGTTTTGTAAATAAGTTCATTTGTATCTTTAAAAAAATTATGATATAAGTGATATCATATATTTGTCTTTCTCTGTCTGGCTTACTTCACTTAGTATGATAATGAGCTTCCTTATTTTTGAATATGTGATGCTTCCTGGCCTTGGAAAATTTGAGACTTAGGAAAACTTTCCCTGGAGAGGGTGTGTGTGTATTTTGTAATATTCTTGGGCACTGTCAGTTACTTTAAACTGAATTCATAAGTCAAAATTTGGCTCACCCAGGTGGTACAAAGAATCTGGGCTGCAAATCTGTGTGAGGCTGGCCCATAGTCCATTTCCCAGGATAAGTCCTTTTTACTGATTCTCCCTGCTCTCTTCAGCACAGTGGGAACAATCCCTACAGTTCCTGCTGGGGAGGGGAGTGCAGGTAGGTCCACTTTTGGGTATACCTTTACTCTGAAGGTAGAGCCTTTGGGGTCCTAATTTAATGTGATCTCTTATTAGACTCCCACTTCAGCAGCCTGGCTTTTAATTTCTGAACTTCACGCTCAACGAAGTCTGCCAAAAAGTTCATTCTGGGCAGGGTTGCAAAGGCTTTGAAGAAAACAGAGGCTTTGGCTCAGCTTGCTTCTCTACAAACCCACTTTCCCAGAGGCTTTGGTCTTTATCCTGTCATCTTTTTCATACCTTTAGCATATGTATACATATATACTTGTGTGTGTGTGTGTGTGTGTGTGTGTGTGTGTGTGTGTGTATAAAATGTGTGTATACATATATGTGTTTATATATGTATACATATATTAAATACATACATACATACACACACACATTAATTTGTTTTCAGTGGAAGAGGTGGTTTGAACATCCTAGCGCCTGTTCCTGAAAAAGAAAGCAGTTAGCTAACTTTTTAAATCACTTTGGTGGGGACTGTGAAAGCTGACACAGCTATTAAAATTCATGTTAGATTTCTACCCAGGGAAGAAAGACATTCTCCCTCTGCTTCAAGCACTTTAAAAAGGGAAACACTTTTTTCATAATGATTCTAGTAGCTAACTAACTCCTTTCCCAAGAGCAACAGAAATCACCAGTAACTACCAAGATACCTGGTCTAGAGATGCATTAGGAGGATTAATAGTGCTGAATGGTGAGTGAAAGGAACAGGTCATTACCCATTTAATATATTACACATTGAGGCCTGGTTATTTACAGGGCAATATTGAAAGGTTAGTAAGATACCTGATGGTTAAGAGGGTCATAGAGAGCAGAGATCCTCTTGGGAAATATCTTGTGCTGGTGTTTCAAAAAAAGTAATTAAATTATTGTGAAGTATTTCAAGCGCATAGTCAACAAATCTCATATACTTGACATCCAGCTTTATCAATTTTAACCTTATGCCATGTAAAGGGGAGCAGAATATATCACCCCAAAATAAGTCTCTGGCATAAGGATTGTCTTGAGCTGGTTATTTTTAAGAAACAGCAGACAGAGGAGGAGCTCTGGAAACTGAAAAGAAGTTATCTTTTTATAAGAGACATTTACAGTTGTAAGGGAAATCTCCATTTGGAAGGGTGTCTCCCTCTCTGTACCCGGAAGAAAAGGACAATTCTATATTTCTAGGAAATCTTTATCAACTCCAATATCTGGCCTCCCCTAGCCTCAAAACTTCTTTTTTCTTTAGCTAGAGATGGTATTTAAGGTGGTGGCCAGGGCCATTTCAGAAAGTTACTCAGTTTCCTGGCCTCTCCCGTGTGTATAGGAAGCATTTATTAAACTTTTGTTTTTCTCTCATTAATTTGTCTTTTATTATAGGAGTGTCTAAAGCTGAGAACCTGGAAGGGTAGAGGGAAAATTATTCTTTCTTCCTCTACACATATTTGCCTCAGATTTTATT